GTGAGAGCAATTACCATTTCACTTTTTGATAATCTGCTTAAGGTTTCGGGATCTCTGGTTGTAATCAACAGACACAGATTCTCATTAACGTAAGCATCAGTATCATTTATTGGGAAGATGTGGAACAGCTCACAGAATTGAAAAAAAGTACCTGATTCAGAAAGGCAGGAACTCAGGAGACATCTCAGCATCCACCTGCAACGTGACTAAACTCCAACCATTTACTTTTCAATATTCCAGGAAGAATTCACTTAATTAGATTGGTTTGAGTCTCATCTTCACCATAAAGGAAAATGGGCACCCCCCCAAACTCTACCTTAGGGTGCATGAATTAGTTCTCCAAAGGAAAACTGAAGTGCTATTACTAGAGAGGGGAAAAAAATGGATGCAGGGCAGAGAAAATCAACAGATGTTTATATAAAAACCAAACCAAACTCACTTCCGTCGAGTCGGACCCGACTCATAGTGACCCCTCCTTGGGTTTCTGAAGTGGCATCACTGTGGAAGTGGATTGCCCAATCTTCCTTCCAAGGAGTCGCTGGTGGTTTGAACCGCCAGCCTTCTAGTTAATTTTTTCCAATGCCCAGGAACATGGAAATTATCAGCTTAGAGTTAGAAATAATTCATTACGATACCTAGTGCACTCAGATACATTTAGTCAGTTTGTTATTGTGAGGTACTGTCAAGCCAATTTCCACTCACAGTGACCTCATGCACATCAAGGCACAGCCCTGCCCCGTCCCGAGCCATCCTCACAGTCGCTGCCATGCTCGAGCCATCATGGCAGCCACTGCGTCAATCCACCTTGTTGAATGAGAGTTCATGATACCTTTCTCAGTTGCTTCCTCATTTCTGGCCTTTCCAAACTTCCTACTTCTAGGAGACCAGATTTCAAAGATAGCTGCAATTGATGAGAATCCATACCAAAAAAAGCAAGAACTGCCTTGCTCCTCATATTCCAACTGCAGTCGATACACTGAGTGTACTCACACATCTCCTTCTCGTAGTGTGTTCAATTTCAAGACTACCTCAGATCTTTCTGCTGTTGCTGACTGCTATCAAATTGGCCTGACTCATGGCAACGCCACACACAAGGGACCAAACATTACTGGGTTCTGCACCACCCCCATGATGGGTTGTGGACTGGACTACCGTGATGCACAGGGTTTGCAATGGCAGACTTTTGTTAGCAGATTACCAGGTCTTTCCTCCTCACCCATCTTAGTCTGGGTTCCACTGAAACTAGTTCAGCAACAGAGCAACACATAAGCCTCCCCGACAGAAGGGTGGTGGCTGTATATGGGGTGCACTAGCCAGAAATGGAACTCAGGTCTCCTGCATTACAGGCAAAAGTTCTACCACTGAACCACCACTGCTTCAGACTTTAGGTAGACAGTAAGATTATAAAAGGCAAGCTCATCTGCCTGAAAGCCAGAATGTTTTCTTTATTACTGGTACCGTTCTGTTACCCACTTATTGCCAAGCAATATAGCATAGTTTTTGGAAGCATGAAATCTGAATTCCAATAGATTTAGGTTCTAGCCTTACACTGCTCTTTTCCTTAGCTGTGTGAATTTGACCTGTTTTTCTCCTTTAGTTTGTCCTTCCTTCTGTAAAACACCAAAACCACAGACACCTAAAAGTTGTCATTAGATTTAGATAATGTACAGGTAGATCCCGACCTACAATGCACTCAAATTACAACCAACTGCACTTACAACTGTTTTTTTGGGTGTATCTTATTGTTAGTAATATGCTACAGTGTGTACTTGGTCCAATTTTACGACTGGTCCAAATAGCGCTAGATTTATAAGGATACTGATAATAAAAGGCATTATTAATGAAAACTTAAAAACAAAACAAAACAATGAAGTGTTCAACATACATCAGAACTGATTTACCATGGTGCACTGGAACGGAGCCTTGTTGTAAGTCGGGGACTACCTGTATATACATCTCAGCCCAGGTGTGGGCACTCAGTCCACATTATGATCCCGTATTTCCTAGGTCGGACTTGCCTTCTTCTTACCTCAGTCTTATTTTTCCTTAATCACTTCAAAGCGAAGGACATTGAAAAGTCCCTTATCAACTTGGATAAAATAAACATTACTAGCTTTTAATTCAGAATATTCTAAAATTACCAGTGGCGAACACAGACAACTCAAAGGCACTCCTATATGCAAAAGAACCTAAAACGTTACCGTCCGTTTTTGAGGATTCTCTTTTTGTAACTTGGGAGTGGCACGGAAAGTTTCAGGATCTTTGACAATTGGTGTTCTGCTGGCTCTCTGCCTCCATTCTACCAACGACAGCCGCAGGGCACACTCGCGAAAAGACGCTGCTCCAGATGAGTGGAGCCGCAGTGCCAGGACCCAGGCCCGAGTCTCTGTTTTGTCACCACGCAGTCGTGCGTCCTCGGCCACATCACGTTCTCTCCGTGCAGAGTGAAAGAGGGGGCCCTGGTCACAGGACGTGGTTTGCAAACTGCGCTCTCACAGAAACCCGTAAAACTGAAGCACGCCACTCCCCACCAACTTCAACAAATTCGTTAGGTGCAATAGTGTCATTTCCTCCTGCACACGGTACTCTAATGAGCCTGCTGCTGTCTGTAAAAACTCAGTACCCGTGCTATCCATTCGTATTTTTAAAATACAATATACACAGGATTTCTGGCCACCAAAACTTCTCTGGTTTGAATACGGCCGCTCAATATACTAAACGCCCCTCTTTCTGTCAAGAGCAACACGACGCTAGGACCCGCAGGATGAGCACTTCTCCGCACAACGGCATCCGCGCGTGAACTCTCGGTTAATGCAGGGCTCCACGGCCTCAACCGACACAAATCTTAGCTCGTCTAAAGGGACTGCCGATGGCGCTCAGGCCCCAGGCGCGGCTCCAGAGGATCGGGAGGGGCACCCCTCCGGTTTGGGGCCGTGACTGGGGCTGAGGCCCTCGCATCTTCGCACTCACTGCCTCTTTCTCGAACATGCTCGGTCTCCTCTCTTTCCGAGGCGCCGCCTGTGCCGCCGGAGGATTCTGGCCTAACAAAGGCTTTCCAAGTCGGCCTCGCTTCTCCATCTTGCGCCGCTCTCCAGCCAGCCGGCTCACTCACAGTCTTTGACCTGCTCAACCGTCCCCGCCCGCCCGCGAGCGCCACCAGGACACCAGGCGGAAGTGAAGGAGAGGCGTTTCATGCCCCTGAGCCGGTAAGGCGCGGAAGCGCAACGCGCCCTCGAAAGAGGGGCTTGCGTCATCTATCTGCGCCGAAGAGGCCTGGAAGCGCTGCGCGGCCAGGAGGGAGGGATGTGTAGGGGTTCCGGCATCCGTTTGCGCTGGCGACGGAAGCGCAGCTTCTGAAGATCGGGAAGGAGGGGCGGGCGAGGAGCTGTATCATCCGCTTGCGCCGACTGCTTGGAGCCCGGACATGTAGGTAGAGCAGGTTATGGGCACCTGTTAGGATAGTATCTGTGCTATCATCCATTCTCTCTCCTCAAAGCCTACGGCAGTGCCTTCGCAATGGTAGGCGCCCAATAAATATTAACGTAAATAAATATTAACCGTTGGTCGCTGGTGACTGTTCACGTAGACCGTATCCTAGTTGCTCCTTTCTGGGCTAGAGGAGTGAGCTTGGGGAGTGGAAACGCCATCGTGATTCTAACGGGAACTAAAAGGGGAGAGCCTGAGGCAGGGTATTGTGTGCGTTTTCTGTGCATGGCGCCTTCACAGGCCAAAGGAAAGGGACACATCTGCGAAGCAAGTAGACGACTTCAGGGATAACTTGGCTCCTAGCTTTTGACAGTACACTCCAAGGTGCCCTCTCCTTTAGCGCTCAGCCAGCAAAGTGTTTTGAGTTGGCGAGTTCTCGACCATCTCCCTTGCCCAGGTTCCAAAGTGAAATTTGCGAAGAGATGAGCTAAAAACACTCCTTACGTTTGTGTAGAGACGTACAGGCTATGGAACTCTAGCAGCCTGGTTTTTGTGGCGCAGTCGTTAAGCGCTCGGCTGCGAATGGAATGGTCAGCACTTGAAACTTACCAGCCTTTCCACCAGAGAAAGATTTAACAGTGCTTCTATAGAGATTACAGCTTTGGAAACCATGGGGCAATTCTGCTCTGTCCCACAAGGTTGCAATGAATTGTAATCCACTCGATGGCAGTGGGGTTGGTTTTCCGCTGGTCTCTTCTTACCTTAAAGGTCTTCCTCCCTTTAGTGGAAGTTTAATTTCTTTAGTATACTAAGAAATATTGTGAAGCGCTGTTTAGTGAGAGCTGTCTCTGGAGTTCACACTTGCAAATTCAAATTGTACTGGACATTTATAGCCAATTGTGGTGCCAGAACAAAGCCAAATCACAAAGATCATTGGGCATGTGACTAGATTGGTTTCATAGGGTTGCCTCATGATAAGGGTGATACTCATTTTCCTCCCTCAGGCACTTCAATGTCAAACATCAGTAGTAACAATAGCTACTGTTTTTTGAATTCTACCTGCTAGGTGATTTTCAAGTCTTATTTCCAATTGCAACACCCCTCAAACCAAACCAAACTCACTGCCATAGAGTTGTTTCTGACTCATAGCGACCCCCTTTTGGATTCATGAGATGGTAAATCTTTACAGAAGTACCTAGTCTTCCTTCTGTGGAGGGGGGGGCGGGGGGTTTGAACCGTTGCTTAGTAGTCAAATGCCTTAGGCACTATGCTACCAGAGCTCCTTGCAACACCCCTAGAAGGTGGTCATGTTTTGCACCATTTTACAGTTGAGAAAACTAAGGCTCAGACGTGTTAAGTAACCTTTCAAGGCAAAGAGGAAGGATGCACATCGAAAGCTTCCAGCCCCTTGACTTCATAGATCCAAACAAGAGCCCTGGTTCTAAATTTGGACAGAAAATTACTTCTTTGCAGGTTTATAAGATGATCTTAGCACATCATGGGGATAACCATGTGCATTTGGATTTCCTTTAATCCATCATGGAAAAGCAGTGGGGTTTGCAGCTTTTTACATCACAGAAGGAACCAGAGGTATGCATTTTATCTGCTTTTTAATTCACTGTGCTTGATTTTCGGCTGTCCCTCCGAAGCTCCCTGCAGAAAAGTCAAACCCGTTACATCAAGTCGATGCCAATTTATAGTGACCCTGTAAGACAGGGGCGAACCACCCCTTAGGGTTTCCAAGGCTGTAATCCTTACGGAAGGAGACTGACACATCTCTCTTCTGAGGAGCAGCTGTGGATTCAAACTTCTGACCTTGTGCTTAGCAGCCCAGCACTGGAACCACTGCACCACAATGGCTCCTTTGTGCACTCATAAAACATAGCTTACTTGGTCACTTTGGATAGTAAAGGAAATCTGCTCCAGGCATGAGACTTGCGGGGCTTTTGTGAACCTACATCTTAAGTAGTTTTGAGTCTTTGAACATTTACCTTTTACTTCAAAATACTTCTGTAAATTTGATGTTTAATCAGTATTTTAATCACATAGTTCTCGTGATATCCAGAAAGCATGTTAACATTGGCTATTCCTGACGACACGCTTTATTCAAAATAGAATTTTCTTGTCACTTGAATATATAATTCATAGTCTCTGCTTGTCTTTCCTGTTAACAGTGCCTTATGTGTCTTGTATTTCAGGTCTTAATAGGGGACTCTATTGGTACCTGTCTCTCTCCTGCAGTATATGACATGATCTGCAAACTTGGGTTTGAAGTCACAGAGAATTGTGCTATCAGTAGCATTGTGGCAGAAGATGGCACCATTTGCTGGAAAACCATCACAGAATGCCTGAGTTATACAGAAGCAGGTGGGTCCTGACTTTGTGCCCCAGTCATCGGTATGTGGAAAATTCCTTTTTTAGCCATCACTTCTTTTTGTTAGAGGCTGTTGTAATGTAGGCCTAGCTCAAAAGAAAAAGAGGATGTTATGGACTGAATTGTGACTCACAAATTGACTGTTGTACAATGTAACCTCTATACTTGTGATTGTAATCCCATTCAGGAATGGGTTGTCTTTGTTATGTTGATGAAGCAGTATTAGGGTAGGGTGTATCTGGGGTCAATCTCTTTTGAGATATAAAAGAGATTAAAGAAGCCAGCAGAGCAGAGATAGGGGAAGAAAGATGCCACATGGAGACTGCCCAGGAGCAGAAACTCAGAGAGACAAGGAACATCCTCAGAACTGGCAGAGAGAAAACACCTTCCCCTCTTGCTAGCACCCTGAATTCAGACTTCTAGCCCCCTAAAAGGTGAGATCCCCCCTCGTCTGTCAGTGTGTCAAACTGCGCTGGCTTGCATGTTGCTCTGATGCTGGAAAATATGCCACCAGTATTTCAAATGCCAGGGTGGTGCCCCCTGGTGAGCAGGTTTCAGTGGCGCTTCCAGATTAAGACCAGGAAGAAGGACCTGGCAATCTATTCCTTAAAACATTGGCCAGTGACAGCCTTACGAATAAGAGGGAACTATTGCCCAACATACAGCCAGAAGCTGAGTCCTTTAGACACTCAAAACACACCTGGGGAAGAGCTGTCTCCCAAAAAGAGATCAACTTTAATGATGTGTATGGAGTAAGGTTTGGGGGACCTTCATTTTCTGATGCGGCACAACTCAAAATGAGAAGAAACAGCTGCAAACATCCATAATTGGAATGTGGAATGTGCAAAGTATGACTCTACGAAAATTAGAAGCTGTCAAAAATGAAATAGAATGCATGAAGATCAATATGCTATGCATAAGTGATCTGAAATGGGCTGGTGTTAGCCATTTTGAATCTGACCACCATAATCTGCTATGCTGAGAATGACAAATTGAAGAGGAGTGGCATCACATTCATTGTCAAAAAGAACATTTCAAGGTCTGTTCTGGAGTCCAGTACTGTCAGTGATAGGACAATATCCCTATGCCTACAGGAAGACCAGTCAGTAGTACTATTGTCCAAATTTATGCACCACCCACTAATGCCAACGATGAAGAAATGGAAGATTTTTACCGACTTCTGCAGTCTGAAGTTGATCACAGGCAATCACGATGCAGTGATAATTACTGGTAATTGGAATGCAGAAGTTGGAAACAAAGAAGGATCGTTGGCAATAGAAGCAATACCAGAGATCTCATGACAGAATTTTGGAAGACCAGTGTGACTTACTCATTGCAGATACCTTTCTGTGGCAACTATATGCATGAGTCTCGACAGATGGCATGCACAGGAATCAAATCAATTACATCTGTGAAAAGATAAGATGGAGAAACTCAATCTCATCAGTCAAAACAAGTCTAGGGACCAACTGCAGAACAGACCATCAGCTGCTCAGGTGCAAATTCAACTTGATGCTGTACAAAATTAAAAAAAAGTCCATGAGAGCCAAAGTACATGTGTCCTACCTGAGTTTAGAGACCATTTCAAGAATAGATTTAATGGACTGGACATTAATGACTGAAGACCAGACAGGTTGTGGGATGACATCAAGGACATATCCACGAAGAAAGCAGTAGGTCTTTAAAAAGACAAAGGAAGAAAAGACCAAAATGGGTGTCAGAAAAGACTCTGAAACTTGGTCCTGAACAGAGAGTAGCTAAAATGAATGGAAGAAATGGTGAGGTAAAAGAACTGAACAGAAGATTTCAAAGGGCAGCTAGAAAAGACATGGTAAAGTATGATAATGAAATATGCAAAGTCCTGGAGTTAGAAAACCAAGAGGGAAGAACATGCTCGGCATTTCTCAAACTCAAAGAAATGAAAAAAAAATCAAGCCTTCACTTGCAATATTGAAGACAAAATAGTGAATACAGAAAGCATCAAATGAAGATGGAGTGATACACAGAGTCACTGTGCAAAAGGGCTTGATTGGCATTCACTCATTTCAGGAGGTGGCGTATAATCAAGAGCCAATGGTATTGAAGGAAGAAGTCCAAGCTGCCTGAAGACATTGGTGAAAAACAAGGCTCTAGGAGTTGGCAGAGTACCTATTGTGGGGAGGGCACGGGACAGGGCAATGTTTCCGTCTTTTTTTGCACAGGGTCTCTATGAGTTGGAGCCAAATTGACCAGCCTGACAGTAAGAGAATGATGAGAAATTTCATTTGCATTTGTGAAAGCCACCAGTTTATAGTGTTTCCATCACAGCAGCACCCTGATAACTGAGGCAGAGTCAGTATGCAAGCAGGGAATGAGGCCAGGGAGGCATGGAAGTCAGTGGGAACCAGTGTCTATGAGATACTTAAGACATGGCAAATCCATGCAGACCAAAGATGGGAGCTTACCAGGGGCCATGAGGAGAGGGCAGCAAGGAGTTAGAAAACAGGATTACTGTGTTGGGAAGAGGTTTCTATGTCAATGATATTATTACAACAGTTTCAAAAGAGAGTTGATGAGAAGCTGGGCTTAGAAAACCGTTGTGTGAGAAAGAGGGTAACAAGGTAGTGAGGGGCCAATGGGCTCGAGGCTTGTAGTCTTAGGGCCCAGAGAGAGTTCTCTCAGATAGTTATCCAGATAGAGATGGGAGAGGAGGGACAAAGAAAACAGGAATCATGAATTCGAAGCAAAAACCCACTGCTGTCGAGTCAATTCCAACTCATAGCAATCCTGTAGGACAAAGTAGACCTGCCCCAAGGCTGTAATCTTTATGGGAGCAGACTGCCTCATCTTTTTCCTGCAGAGAGAAAGATGATGGATTTGAACCGCTAACCTTTTGACTGCCAGCTGAGCTACCACTGCACCAGCAGGGCTCCTTCATATGAATTAAGGACCTAAAATAAACAGTAATATGTTGTATAGTCATTTCGAATGGACATTTCCTGGAGCAGGAATGGGGGCTGGAAAACTTAGTAACAGTCACAAAAATGAGAAGTGAATGACTAGGAATTTAGGAGACAGATACACCTGCACACATCAAAGTGCCGATTGTGCAGTGCAGCCCTGCTTGTAATAACGAAAAGAACTAAAAGGAATCCTGATGCCTCGCAGTGGAGTCAGCTATGTAAGTCACAGTCAGTGTGTACCGTGGGATATTATGGAGTGGTAAAAAAGAGTGAGGAAGCTTGCCTTTCTGATACAGAACTATCTCTAAGTTGTGTTTTTAAGTGAAAAACAAGAAGGGGCATATCATACTAGTATTTGCTTGTGTGTATGTCAATATTTTAAAATGTACCCAAGAAATTAACAGCAGTCTAGTCATGTTAAAATGAGGAAGAGGAAGGAGTCTTGGGTGGCCAAGAGACTGCCTGCCACCTTTTACATTGTATGATTGTGAGCTATGCAAGTGTTAAGGCCCAACCTTGTAGAAAATTAATGTAAAAAACCAATATATTAATATTATTAATATATTCTAAAATAATTAACGTTGCTAGAAATCTCATAGTTCAATAATGTTAAGTTTTAAAAAATCAGATTACAATATTATATATCCAGTATGACCTTCATGTTATATAAGCTGAAACCCAGGTAAAGAAATGGAAGAAAACACTTGTTCTCTTGTTTGAACCTTTGTGTATTTCCAGACCCTACAGATAGCAGGTGTCTTTCATGATCAGATAAACACTGAGATCATCTCCAACAGTAAAGGAGCATGTTTATTTTATGCTGCATGCTCAAGTCTCAGCAGATTGTTGATTGTATGGATGTGTTACAGTTACGAATTAAGACACTGTTTCTCAGATGATTTGGGCATGTTGTCCTCATATGCTAATAGGTGGGTGCTAACAGCTATTTTCTTTCCCATGAGGCCAAGACCTGGATTACCGGGGAAGCGTTCGGTGGCTGGGGCCTCTATGTGAAGCTGTCCACCTGCACATCTCAGCTCTGACCAGGGTGCAGTTTGAAAGCCGATACGCATCATGGTTCCAGTGGACAAACGTCCCAGAGGTGTGGCTTTTGAACAATCATCAGGACTCAACAATAATACCATTAAGGAGCTCTGGGGTACACTGGCTAAAGTGTCCAGCTGCTGACCAAAAGGTTGGTGGTTTGAATCCAGCAGCTAGCTGCTGACCAAAAGGTTGGTGGTTTGAATCCAGCAGCTGCTCCTCAGAAGAAAGATGAGGAAGTCTGCAGGACTACAGGCTCAGCAAACTCTATGGGGCAGTTCTACTCTGTCCTGTAGGGTCCCTCTGAGTGGGAATTGACGCAGTAGCATGAATTTGGGTTTTTTTGTTTACTGTTGTTGTTAGGTGTCATTGAGTTGGCGCCGACTCATAGGGACCCATGTACAACAGAACAAAACACTGCCTGGTCCTGCGCCGTCTTCATGATCCCTGCTATGCTGGAGCCCATCGTTGCAGCCCCTCAGTCCATCTCATTGAGTGTCTTCCTCTTTTTCACTGACCTTCTGCTTTACCAAGCATGATACCCTTCTCTGGTCCCTCCTGACAACATAACCAAAGTATGTGAGACAAAGTCTGGCCACTCTCCCTTCTAAGGAACATTCCGGCTGTACTTCTTCCAGGACAGGTTTATTTGTTCTTCTGGCAGTCCATGGCATTTTCAGTATTCTTCACCAAAAGCACAATTCAGAGGCATTGACTCTTCTTCAGTCTTCCTTATTCATTGTCCAGCTCTCCCATGCATGTGAGGTGGTTGAAAACACCATGGCTTGGGTCAGGTGCACTTTGGTTTGCTGTGACTAGTTTTCAAGGGTCTCTGTCTCCTGGACCTTCAAACTATGAAGCCTTGAGTGTTGCAAGAGAGGCTTGCAATATTATCCAGACTTCTCAGAGCCTGAGTTGAGAATGTCTGTCTTTGAACAAAGGGCACTTTGATGGTGCAGCAGTTAAGCACTCAGCTGTTAACCAGCAGGTTGGTGGTTCAGACCCTCCCATTGGCTCCCTGGGAGAAAGAGTCAACGTCTGCTCCCAGAAAGGTCACAGCCTTGGAGACGCGGTGGGGCAGTTCCGCTCTGTGACGTGGGTCACTGTGAGTCAGCGTCTGCTTGGCAGCACACAACAACATCATACGAGGGGTGCTGGGGAGGTGGCCTTGGTCCACAGGTGCTTCTCCAGGGACAGAAGGAAAACTGGCCACTCCAGAATGGAGCAGAGCCTTCTGGGAAGAGAGTACCATGGGAAGAGTAGTGAGATGAGGAAAATAGGACAGAACAGTTGGCTTCTAGCGGGGGACGTGAAGGGAGCAGGGACCAGGGTAAGCCAAACTAAATCTTGGTTTCGTTTGCTCATTGGTTGGTTTTTCACCATTTAATCTGGCACATTAAATAACCAAATGAAATGGTGAGTAGTCACTATACCAAGTCAAATTCTAAAACACGTTTGGGTTTCTTCTTTTTATGTGGCATGGCCATTGCTTCTCCCTTTGAACAGCTTGTTCACAAGGCGACAGGGTAGCCAGTGGCAGTCTGTTTTGAAGAACTGCTCTAAATCAAAATGGGGCTTGAAATTTACATCAGAATAGCTGCCTTCCTAGCTTATAATTATGTCAGATTTATTGCTTTCAATAAAAATTTAAAGACATTTCAAAGACCTCAGAGCTTAATTTTTTTGATCCTTTAGGAATTGTTCTATTTACACAGTAAGTGTTTACCTATACCAAAGCAAAGACATCCTTCAGATACTCCCACGGAGCCCTCTAGAAGTCTGTGAGTCAAATAGGCCAGTGGAACCCTCTAGAAGTCTGAGTCAAGCTAGTGGAAACTTGTAGAATCAATAGCATTGTGACTTTGAGGAATACGCTTTAATAAGTACAAAACCTACACACATTTTATCCTGAGCAGTTATTTCCTGAGACGTTTGACGCCTTGCACAGCGGACAACCAACTGCCATCTGTCTGAGCCTCCTGAAGCTCACATCGGGTCTGGAGCGAGCCCTGGGCAATGTAAGTGTGAGCCTCATCACTGCTCCGTTAAGTCTTTGCTAATGCAAAGACATTAAATGTCATTAAATGTTTCACATTAAATGTCATTAAATGTTTCACATTAAATGTCATTAAATGTTTCACATTAAATGTCAAAGACTTTGCAGTCCACACTTAGATTTCTTGATTGTAATGATTGTTTTCCTATAAGAAACAACTATTTGACACAGAATTTTAATCTATTTCTTTTTGGGTGACTTTGAAATCAAAACATTGTCATCTGAGCACACATCTCACCCCCACTGGTTCAAACACTCATGTTATGGATAGTGCTGCTTCTTAAATTAATGCCACTGTTGTAACACTTTTTTGTGAGTTTTAGGTGTTCCTACTGATTGGGCAGGAATGCCCCTTTCTCCTAAGAGATCTGCTTGCATCCGAAGAACTCGCTCAAGTCTTCGGGCAACCTGTGGTAAGCCGTTCACTGAAAATTAGAGCAACAGAAAACAGTGGAAATTACCTGGACGTTTGTCTTCCCATCACTGATGCCACTTTAGGGAGAAAAACAAAGCCTCCAGCTATTCTCCTTTGTCAAAATGCCCTCCTTCCAGCCAGCAAATGAAGGCCTATTTCTCACCTTTCCTGACTATGAGGTTCAGGTGCATGTGTGCCAGGAAGGGCCACTTTGACACACTGCCCCGATCAGTTCTGTGTTAATAATGAGAATCCTGCCTGGTCTGAAATGAAGTGCTCAGAATGTTAACAGCGTGACATCATAGTCTGTCAGAGTGACATCACACCTTTATTCTGGAATAGTGATATTTTTAGTTTGTAGGACATGATGTCCTTTGCAAATGTTTAAACTTAACAATGAGTAAAAAAAAATGTTAGATGTTGATTGAAAACATGCTGGAAGGGCTGTGCTTTGTCAGACCCTTGGGAAGGGCGCAGGATCAGCCAGTCTAAGGCTCCTGAGTTCACTGCAGTTTCAGGGTGAGGCCCGATGAGGGGGAGGGGAGGCCGGTGGTGGCCTTATGCAGAAGGCTGTGCTGGCCCAGCCAGCCGTCTATGCCGGACTCAGCGTTCTGGGGGAGAAGTATGTTTTTGGTGATGTTTTCTCAGGTTTTTCCTGTGCCTTCTCTGCCTTGGTCACTTTCTACCACGGCCCCTCCTCTGTGGTTATGTTTCCCTGTGGCCCCTCTCCCTTGGGCACTCTTGACTGCAGCCTCCGTCCCTGATCAGTGGGGACAGTGTTCCTTCATGGAGGGCTGGGCCTCAAGGTGAGGCTAATTTCTTGCCGTTACACTGAATTCTTCAATACAGTGTGCTTGGTCAGCTCTTTGCTCTTGCCCTCTTGGCCACCTGCAGGTCCACAGCCACCTTTCAGCCACCTTTCAGCCCAGGGATAGTTTTGCTTGGCCACTGGGTGGCTGCTTTGCTCATTGCCCTGAGGGCCTGGATGGCCTGTTAGAATAGCAGCACAGAGTGGAGTCCTCTCCAGTTGCAGGGGCTGGTCCCCCCTAGGTCCTCCCTCTTCGCAGCAACTTTTCATGGTTGAAGGCAGCTCTCGTTTCCGTCCCTGTCCTCCTCATATACCTGCTAGTTGGGCCATCTGTTGGTTTATTACTCATTCGGAGAGAGTCCATAGCTGTGGAGCCAGGTTGGCTGAAAGCCACTCATCAGGCCTTCATCTTCTGCCGGGCAGTGGGGTGGGTTCACACAGGGAGCCCTTGGGTTACTGGCCGTCTGCAGACTGTCTCTGCCACCCAGGGACTTCCTCCCTTTATGACTGCCCTAGAGTTCCTTGGCCAGGTTTTCTGAGTCTAGAGGCTGGTGCCCAGGCCCCAAGGCTGTTCTCAGGGCATGTGGTGGTTGCAGCCCAGCACTCGTGCCCCTGGAACGGGCACATTCCTGTCCTCGTAGAAACGGTTACTGACCTGTGTGAGCTGCTGCGGGGTGCCTGGCACACGCCCTCTGGTCCTCTGGGTCTCACCTGCTGGCCCTCCTACTTCAGGCTGAGTTTCTGTTGCTGGCTTTTCTGTCACTGTGTTTGGACGGCACTCAGAGTCCGGCGGTGCTGCCGTGGGATGCGAGCCGGTGTCAGCTGGTTGGCTCGCTGCGCGCGTCAAGCAGGCTGGGTGCCGCCTCACGGGGCTCTGAGCGGGAAGGGGTGGGTGGACATGGCAGATGTGCCTGGCCCCCGTGGCAGGAGCAGGACTGCTTGGTCTCTGTGTTGCGTGCTCTAGCAGCTCGACCTTCGGACCTTCTTCCAGGAAGCAGGGGGATGCCGCTGCATGGGCACTTATCTGCCCCGCCTGCCTCTGCCTCATCACAATTCATTCTCGCCCAGCAACCATTCATGGGGAAGCCACCACAGCCATGGCTTTTAAGGGGACCTGAAAGGCACCCTTGGAAAGGCACCTGTGGAACCAGAGGGGTACATTCACTGGATCAGAATTACTCAACCCAGCTGCAAGTCAAGTCCCTGGAGAAGGTGTGCACTGGCTTGAGAAGAGGCACAAAGGAGACATCTCAGAGAAGGGGCCTTTCAGCCCTACCAGGACTCGGAGTCCCATGGAGGACACTCCCTGTGGTGAAGCTGTGACAGTCCACAGAGGCTCAGTGCAGTGCACGCACCTTCCCTGATGGTTAAGCGGATCACCCCTTAGGATTGAGCCTGGAGTGGAGGTTAAAGTGGCCCCTACAGATGCTTAAATCAACAATTTTATTTTATTTTTTTATTTTTGCAGTGTTCCCTCCTCTCCCCTCCTACCCCTGGTAACCAACAAAGAAACTGTGGTGTAGTAAATTATTTAGTGTGGCTTTTCTACCCATAAGTCTTTGTAAACTCCAAGGTGGGATTTTCTATGAGCAACTGAAGAGCTCCTGATT